CATGAATTCTAGCCTAAACTAGTAGTAGTGAATTTGGAACCAGCTCAGACTACATTATATATAGACTAATTCACAGAAATGATATTACTGACTCTACTCTGCTTTGTTTTTCATAATACTGTAGCAAAATTCTTTTTAACATTTCATTTGTTTGTTTGTTTTTTGTTTTTGTTTTTTCGGGACAGGGTTTCTCTGTAGCTTTGGAGCCTGTCCTGGAATTCACTCTGTAGACCAGGCTGGCCTTGGCTGTCTGCCTCCGAGTGCTGGGATTAAAGCCACCACTGCTCAGCTTAATCCCAACAACATTCTTAAAGTGGAGGCAGGCTTGATGTCTGAATTCCAGGCCAGCCAGGGCTATTGTCAGATCCTGTCTTTAAAACAAAAAAGAAAAAATAAATAAAAGATAAGAGTCTGAAGTCAGATGTCAAACACACTGCAGAGTTTTTGATGACCTTGTCTTGTGAAATAATAACCATGGGAAAAAGCAAATTTTGGAAATGAATATTATTTAGTATGTGATTTATTTTTTATTTCTTTATAGTTCTGGTTGGTCTTGGTATTTCCTGTATAGATAGATTAGAAAGATGTACACCACCAGGTCTGGCTTATAGTTTAAGATGGAATTTACAGTATGATGGACATAACAAACAGACATTTGATTCTGTTATCTGCACCTCAGTTGCCACATATTCACCTCTTTGAGGTTTTTTTGGAACTTTTTCTCCTTTTGTTGGAAGGTTGAATTCTGAATACATATTGAAAAGTAGTAATCATCCCATCGGTGGTGGATGGTACACACCTTTAATTCTAGCACGTGGGGAGGCAGAGGCAGGTGGATCTCTAAGTTCTGTTGAGGCCAGCCTGGTCTACAGAGTGAGTTCCAGGACAGGCTTCAAAGCTACAGAGAAACTCTGTCTTGAAAAAATTCAAACCAGGGCCTGGAGAGATGGCTCAGAAGTTAAGAGCAAAGGCTGCTCTTCCAGAGGTCCTGAGTACAATTCCCAGCGACCACATGGTGGCTCACAACCATCTATAATGTAAGATCTGGTGCCCTCTTCTTGCATGCATGTCATTGGGTTTGCTAGGATTTAGTTCTGATTTAAAATTTCTTTCATAGAAATTTACTAACACTGTAAATCTCAGGGGTCGCACAGCATGTTGGGCAGAAATCAACCATGGCTTGAGTTAGATCACCAGGTGTGTGTATACATGCTGGCAGAACATTATACATAACAAATAAATTTTTAAAAAAAGAAGTCACTTCCAAAAAAAAAGGCATGCTTTTATATTGCAATTTTATTTTGAGGTTTTATTTTCTGGTTAGATCAAATGAGCCGCCATTGGATCTTGGAAATCTTTTGAATATAGAAAGATGTATAATATATTTTGATATAGAGTTATCACTGGGCTAGGGGAATTAAATCTGACCCCTCTCACTTGGGTACTTTATCTGTTTTTTTTCCTTACACAGTCTGTCTGTAGAACATTTCTAGCAATCTGATAGTGCCCTTTCATCTATTTTAGATTACTTCTGACACTTAATTCTGCCTGTTCTTTTTTCTTTTGCAGTTGTCATCTGGGCTCAGAGTGCTCATTTTCTTCATTTCCAGTTGATTATCCTATTCCATACAGCAACTGTTCAAACATTTTTCACACCTCTCAGTTTTTAGCATATTATCTAGCAATTTAGGCCTGTATTTCTCTTGGCCAATACCACACATTTTTTTCTAGTTTCTCTGTATTGTACTTTTTCAAGTCACCTTCCACCTGTTCTTTTTTAGCCTTCACTGTCTCCCAAGACTTGGTGGCATGTCTCCCTCTCTGCTATCCCTTTTTTCTTTTCCCTTTTCTCACTTCTCTAAATATAAGAAAGTTTGTGTCTTTTGTGTAAACTTAGCCAGTGTCCTGCTTCTGTTCTCAGGCTTTTGGCTGTGTGCTTCTGTGTAGCTCTTCTTTTCCCTTAATTTACCCACCTGGCTATCTTGAAGCTATCAAGTGTAAGAGCATCGACAATATCCTGATTGTCAAACCAGGTTCTTTTTGATAAGCTTCATCCATTCTTGTATTATTGCTCACATTGTCTGCTGTTTTTCTTGTTTTGTGACTTTTTCCCCCCTCCCTCTGTATTTTACTGTTTACCCTGTTTTTCACTGACATATAAATTATTTCTCAGGATTCAATCTTCAACCCTTTCTTTGTTCTGGTACAGTCCCAACTCCTCTCTTTCTGTCTCTCTCTGTCTCCGTCTCCGTCTCCGTCTCTCTCTCTCTCTCTCTCTCTCTCTGTTTCTGTGTGTTTTCTCTCTCTGTTTCTCTCTGTTTCTCTCTCTCTGTTTCTCTCTCTCTCTCCCTCCCTCCCTCCCTCTCTGTCTGTCTCTATCTCTGTCTCTGTCTCTGTCTCTCTCTCTCTCTCTCATTTCTCTGTGTAGTCTCAGCTGTGCTTGAACTCTGTAGACCAGGCTGGCCTCTCTACCTCTGCCTTCTGAGTGCTGGGATTAAAGGAATGCGCCACCACCACCAGGTTCTATTTCATTCTTTTTATCTTAGTGTTGATTTCTTTGAGACCTTCCCAGTTGACTTTTTTTTTTTCTAGACAGGGTTTCTCTCTGTACTTTGGAGCTGGCCTCAGACTCACATAGATAGGCCTGCCTCTGCCTCCCAAGTACTGGGATTAAAGGAGTGCACCACTACCATATGGCATTGCAGTTGACTCTTAATAAGAAACTGAAAAAGAAATTAAACAAGAAGCATAGCTTTTTCTCAGTGCAAACTTTTTATCATTTGGAAAGAAGGAAAATGAAAATATAAATGAGCAATTTTAAGTGTCTAGAATGTATTCATTATTAATGTTGTTTATTAGACAGCAATATGCAAGGGACCCTGAAGAATACAGAGGCATATATAATAATGCCCATGCTCTGTGGGAGGGAGTTCATCATACTCAAAGAGATGGTTTTCTCTAAGGCAGACATTTCTGAAATGTTACTACACAGATTGAGGAAATTGATGGGACAATTGTAGAATGTTATGAAGAGAGCATTGGGGCTTAATTTTAAAGAATGGGTACTCTATGTGTTTGCATGTGTGAATGTGTGCACATGTATATGCTTGAATGTGGAAGCCAGAGGTCAACTTCAGGGGTCATTCCTCAGGTTCTGTCCACCTTGTTCTTTGACACAGTGACTCTCATTTGGCTAGTTAGC